GCGCGCGGGGCTCGGTGCTCTGTGTGTGTGTGTGTGTGGTGATGGCGGGGGCGCGCCCCGTGCCCGGACCGGTGCGCGGCGGGAGCGCGCGCGGGGGGGGTGAGTGAGCGAGTGCGCGTGTGCGGGAGCGCGCGTGGAGGCGGGGAGGGAACGGGACCGTGCTGTGAGGGGAGGGATGAGGGGGGGAAACACCCCATAGGCCGAGTGCGCGCGTGCGGGAGCGCGCACGGATGGCGGCGGGGTGGGAGGGAGTGTGGGTGACAAGCACAGAGAGAGAGAGGGGGGAGCGGGCGTTGCGGGAGCGCGCACGGCCAGAACGGGGGCGCACACACGGGAGCGCGCACGGGCCGCGGTGCTGGGAGGGGGGGAAGGCGGCGCTGTGCGCATGCGCCGCCGGGGGGCGCCGTTCCCGCGCGCCCGCCCCTTTCCCGCCGCCGCCGCTGCACCTGAGGCGGCGCGCGGGCCGCAGGTGAGGCGGGGGGAGTGCGCATGCGCGGGGGAGAGAGAGTGAAGGGGGCTCGGTGCCCCGCTCCGGTAATTAGCGACCGTGCCCTTAATTAACGCGCGGAGCGGGGTTGTGTGAGGGTGAAGGGGTGTGGTGGAGCGGGGGGCGCCCCGGCTCCCCCTCAGCCTGCCCCCCCGTCGCTCCGCGCGGGTAATTAGCGAGCCCGCGCTAATTAGCGCAGCCAGGTGAGGCGGGCGGGGATGGCTCCTGCCCTCAGAGGGGACGGAGCTGCCCCTCAGCGCCAGGTGAGGCCTCAGAGCCACCGCAGGCGCTCCCGGTGCCAAACCCCAGCAGCCGCTTGCCCAAACCTCCCTCTGCCCTTAGCACGCTAATTAACGCTGCTGAACCCCAGCCTGCGGCTTCCTCATTACGCCCCGATGGACGAGAGCGCTGCCACAAGAAGCAGCACCTGTGGCCGGTACCTGTGACAGGTGTGGAAGGGTCGGGGCTGCCCCTTGCCAGGTTGGCACTGCCTTCTGCAGGTGGCACCTGCCCCTGGAAAGCTGCAGAGCCGCGGCCACAGCCCCGAAACCGCTGCTGGGGCTGTGTAGGAGGGGACAGCGCTGCTGTGGTTTGGGTTTGGCAGCCGTGGAGGAATTAGTGAGAGCGGCAGGAGCCCGCAGGGGGAAGGGCACCAACCCCTCTCAGCTTTGTTTTCCTTTCCTAAATCCTCCACCCTGCACTCTCTACCTGTGGTTTGTTTCCTCACCTGCAAATTCCCCCAACAGCGGAGGGCAATGGAGTTGAGACTCTGCCAAAAGAAAAAAAAAAAAACAACAAAAACAACCAGCCTCGCTCCCCCGGAGTTCCAAATGCCAAATTCCAGAGGGTTTGGCTTGCTCTGGATTCCTGAGCACAACCCCCAGACCCGCCCGAGCCCAGCAGGTTTTGGGGCTCGCAAAGTTCAGGATGGATTTAAGAGGGCAGGGCGGGCTGGGGAAGCCCCCGGGTGGGCTCAGGACAACGCTCCCGTTTTCCTCCTCCTTGTCCCAGCTGTTCCTGGAGCAGAACGGGACACGCTGACCCAGCCCAGAGCTGGAATTGGTCACCTGCAAAAAGCTTGGACACTGCTCCACCTCAGCCCAGCCCCCCTGTGCAGTGCAGCTCCTGGGGGGAAACCGGGGAGGGGATGTTGGGACAGGTGCTGCTGCTGGAATTTCCTGCCTTGGAGAGGGAAGTGTCTCATCCCCATTCCTGCTGTGAGGATTTTCGGGATAACTCCTCCTGGAGCAGCCCTGACCCTTCACCCTGTGCTTTGTGAGGCCTCCAAACGCTGCCAGTTCTGCCTTGAGGACAGCCCGAACCAGGGCTTGGCACCCTTGGCACAATTTCTCCTTCCCCAAAAGGGAAGAGCCCTTGGAGCTGCTCAGGGATCCTGGGCAGAGAAACTGAGGCACAGCTGGTGGGAACTTTCTCTTTTCCTGAGGCACAGATGGCAGCTCCAGCTCTGCAGCCCAGCCAGGTTTATCTTCCCAAATCTCCTGCTCAGAATGCCCTGGAGCAACGGGAGAGGAAGCAGAAGGGAAACAAAGGGATTTTCCTGCTGGATTGTGCCACAGGAAGCCCTGGCTGCCCCAGCTCGGAGGCTTTGAGGCCGTGGCACTGCAGAGGAGAAGTTCAACCAGAGGAAATTCCTGTCCCCATTCACCAGCTCGGTGTAAAGGCACAATTAAAGATTAATTACCTCCAAAAGAGCAGAGCAGAGCTCACACCCACCGGCTTCTCCCAGTGCCTGGGGCTGGGGAGCACTGGCAGCTCCGTGTGGGGGTTGTTAATTCTGTTTTTGGGGTCCTGGGGAACACAACTGCACCAGCAGAGCCAGCAGCCTCTGCACAAAAAACACCAAAAAAGGGGGGAAAGGGGATCCCTGGAAAAGGGGATCCCTGGAAAAGGGGATCCCTGGAACCTCCTCCCAGCCTCGCTGTCCTGGAGAGCAGCCCCAGCTCTGAGATGCTGGGGGAGATTTTGGATGATTTGTTGGAGGATCACAGAGGGAGCTCTGGAAGTGCCCTGGTCCAAGGCAGGGGCACTGGGGGAAGCCCCCACAATTCAGCTCTCACCTTATCACAGGAATCCGGCGTCACACTCGCATCCCGAGCTCTGAGGTTGTCAGGATCGATCCCTCTCGGCCAAGCACAGAGCCCAACCTTCACTTCTGAGACAGCAGCACAAAAAAAAAAATAAAATAAAAAAAAAAAAGCCACGACCCACAGTGCCAGCCTCGGGGCTTTGACATTTATTGAAGGCTGCTTACACAATCTCACAATTCCACTTCCCTCAGGACAAGGAGCAGGGATGGGACAGAGGATTTTGTTTTGGGACAGGAGCCCAGGACAGGGAGACATGTCCCAGTTCCAGAAGGGTTCCCTGCACAGAGCTCCCTTCTCCAGAAAGCCAGAGGGAACCTGCATTCCTCACCCCACGGAGCCCTGCCCTGAGCTGAGGTGTCCCCAGGCTCTCAGGTGACACCTGGAGAGCTCTGGGGTGCCTGAGGGCCCTGAGCTGAGGTGTCCCAGCCCAGGAGCTGCAGGTGGGGACAGCCCCAGCCGGCCTGAAGGCACGGAGGCAGCTCTGAGACCTGATGGAAGCAGCTCCCACGGCCAGGGACTCACCTGGGCTTCACCCCAGGAAATCTCTGCTCCTGCTGCTCCACCTGCCTGGAAAGGGCCAATCCCCAAATCCATCTGAATTCCCAACTCTCACTTGCTGAATTCCCAAATTCAGAGTCACTGAAACCACCTCTGTGACCACACAGGGGAGGAACCACAGCCCTGATGTCGCTTTCACTTTTATTTGATTACCCACCAAAAAAAAAAAAACAACAAAAAAACCAAATCCTCCGATTTCCAAATTTCCCAATTTCCATTTCCTCCGCCAGAGGAAATTGCGATGATTTTTTCTTTTTTTTTTCCTTTTTTTTTTTTTAAATGTGTGTGTTTTGTGTCCCCCAGCAGTGGCAGGGGCTGGCTGGTGGTCTCTGGGGGTCTCTGGGGGTCTCTGGGGCTCACTGGGGCAGCTGCAGCAGCACGGACTGGCCCGAGGGCAGGTAGGTGATGTTGCGGGAGCGGCTCAGCTGGTACGCGATGTCCTCGGCCGCCTCCAGCTTGCGCAGCTCGATCAGCCCGTCCCCAGCCGTGGCCAGCGAGTTGGCGATGAGCTCGGCAGCCTTGGAGTCGCCCTCTGCCGAGATCACAGCCGCCTTCTTCTGCTGCTCCGCCTGCGGGGGGGACGCGGAAAACTTGGTTCTGTTGTCATGAC